CAATCATTAAACTCAATGGAGATTCCCCGGCACGTATATGATGGAAAAGTGCCAGTCACCCAGGATCTACATACCTTTGTAGACGCATCGGAACGAGCCTATGGCGCGGCAGTGTACGTACGAGCCACCTACAAAAACAATCAGGTCTCTGTACGACTATTATGCTCAAAATCTCGAGTAGCACCCACCGCCAAACAATCCCTACCACGTCTAGAACTGTGCGCTGCAGTTTTAGGTGCCGAACTCACCAATCGAGTTAGAAAGGATCTCCATATGAATCTTGACACAGTATCAGGAATCTTCTGGACTGATTCCACCGTTGTACTGTCCTGGATTAACGCATCGGCGTCCACATACCACACATTCGTGGCAAATCGAATCGCCAAAATCCAGGCATTGACGAACCAATTACAATGGCGTCATGTTTCATCAGCCAACAACGCAGCAGATGTCCTTTCAAGAGGAATCTTAGCAAGCAAGCTAAGTGATCATAGTCTATGGCTATACGAACCATTATTCTTGCACGGATCAGAAGATAAATGGACAAAACTACCCATCATTGAGCCCAGCAATCTCGAGAGAAAGGCTAAGCATGTCAGCTTGCCAATCGCATCTAGCTCTCTCGGAGAAGAGTTATACACATGCAGACATAGCAACAACAAACTACAACTACGTTCAACAAACTACAACGTATTGTAGCGTACATGTTTCGCTTCTGCTACAAAACTAATAGAGCACCTACAACGACACTTTGCGCAGGAGAACTAAGGCGTGCTCGCACTATGATCCTACGAACGATTCAACAAGTTGAGTTCACAGCGGATTTAAAACAATTAAAACGCTATAAAACAGTGGATAAAAAGAGTTCGATCATTTCGTTATCTCCCTTACTAGGAGATGATGAGCTCATCCGAGTTGGCGGAAGACTCGAAGAAGCTCAAATTCCGTTCAATGCAAAACATCCAATCCTGCTACCGTACAACGACCCAATTGTCAAAATGATTATGCGTGAGCTTCATGAGGAAAATCTGCATTGCGGTGCCCAAGCATTAAGGGCAATTGCAAGACAACAATATTGGATTATCAACGACAAGACGATGGCTAGAAGCATCATACATAGCTGTATTAGATGCACCAGAGCCAGACCAAAGCTGATGCACCAGATCATGGGCAATCTTCCAGCACAAAGAGTCACGCAAGCACGCCCATTCCTTAATGCAGGCGTTGACTACTGTGGACCAATTATGATCCACCATAAAATCCGAGGAAAACGGCCAGATAAGGCATACATTGCCGTATTCTGCTGCTTCACCACAAAGGCTGTACATCTGGAGTTAGTAAGTGACTTAACCACAGATGCATTCTTGGCAGCACTCCGGCGATTCCTTAGCAGACGCGGGAAGTGTCAGACTATTCATTGCGACAACGCAACAAATTTCGTCGGCGCAAATAACAAGCTAAAGGAATTGAAAGAAGCAATATTTAGCGAAAAGGCACATGCTCTGATCACAAATCATTGCAACAAAAAACAAGTGGATTTTAAATTCATTCCTCCTCGGGCCCCATCGTTTGGCGGCCTCTGGGAAGCTGCGGTAAAATCAGCGAAAAGGCTGTTAGTTACAACCACAGAAACAGCATCCTTGACGTTTGAGGAGCTGAACACAGTCATAATCGAAATTGAAGCAATTCTGAACTGCCGACCCATAACTCCAATGTCAAATGATCCAACGGATACAAGTGCGCTTACTCCAGGGCATTTCCTGATCGGTGAACCTTTGACCACAGCACCTGACGTCAACACCGATCGTCAAGAGAAAACTCTGGTTAAGCGCTGGGAATTGGTTTCACGCTTAAAACATGCATTTTGGAAACAATGGTCTACGGAATACCTCCACGAACTACAAACTCGCCATAAATGGAAAACCACCTCTCCAAACGTGACCGAAGGATTATTAGTTTTGGTGAAGGAAGACAACCTTCCAGTAATGAAGTGGCCAATGGGTCGCATCATCAAAACTTATCCTGGGCAAGACAACCATGTACGAGTGGTTGATGTCAAAACATCGTCCGGCGTATACAAACGCCCCATCAGTCGTCTCGCCCCATTATTCTCAGAGGAGGTAGCAACAAAACGCTCAAAAAATGCTATTCAAGACATTGCGGAAATAAAGGAGCCACCAACACAGCGAAAAAGGTTATCATTACCTACACTAACATCCACATTGGTAGTGCTACTTCTCATGCTGCCATTAGCATTTTCACAATCAATAAATGTGACGCAATTTGCAAACAAGCCTGGAATATTCTATGAGAAACTTGGAACCTCAAGAATGACCACTTCCGAATGGACCATGATTGTATACTACGACTTGGATCCATATTGGAAGGATATGCAAGTCATGTCAGCCGGAATGTCCGAACTAAGACACATGTGCCCTGAACTAAAAAATGTTCCAGCGTGCAACTCCATATTTCAACACTTTCAACATTTGTACAAAGAACTACAAACAGGAAATATGCTAATGAAGGCCTCTCGACAACGCAGATCACCGCTGGATATAGTAGGAAACGTGGCACACCAGCTATTCGGTGTACTTGACTCTACATATGCTGAGAAAATGGCTAAAGTAATCGAAAGGGTACAAACCAACGAAGACTTTCTGCTACATCTACTACGAAATCAAACGTCAATTGTCGACTCCACAATGAACGTGATCAGGAAGGATAAGTCAGCCATGGACAACCGCCTAAAGGTATTGGAACAACAAGTGGCAACCATCAGCAGAGAAAGAGGAACATATCATGGCGATCATCTAATTCAGTCATACCTAGGGCTCACAGCACAACTAACTCTGCTGACAACGAGTCTTCAACGTATGCAGTCTGACATATCTGATGTATTAATCGGCATTCACCATCGGACAATAAGCCCAACGCTAGTATCTCCTGAGCAATTAAGAGAGCAACTAGACCAAATCCGGGATCACTTGCCAGCTGATCAAATGTTGCCTGTCACAACACAAAATGTGATACAATTATACAGGCTAATGCGCGCTGAAGGAACACTGACTACCACACACGTCATTTTCAAGGTGACACTACCGTTAGTTTCAACATTTCAGCTCGAAGTTTTCAGTATCATGCCGATTCCGGTCTGGGACTCAACAAGTTGGAGCTTGTTCAATCTCAAAACAACCCTAATCACTGTAAACACTCACCGAGATCAATTCATGGGATTTACTCCAGAAGAATTTCGACGCTGCTTTAAACTACTCAACGCAGAATACATCTGCTTTGATCATCAAACAGTCTTCAATGTCGACAATCGCTGTGAGTTTCAGCTGTTTAACAATAAAACAGCACCTTTATGTGAAGTGACCCACACGAAGGCGGACATGGTGTGGTCCAAAACTCAGCAAGCAAATAAATGGATTTTTGCAACACACTCTACAATGAGACTTCAGGCAGTTTGCAACGGGTCTCCATCAACCATACAACTAGAAGGAACTGGCTTGCTCTCACTGTCACCTGGATGCACTGCTCGCAATACAGAAATAAGCATCAGTACCTTCAGCACAACAATCAGTGAAGTCAAATCAACCTACACTCGATTTGGGGACATACGCTTACCAACGACACCCCCTTCGCCAGCAACTGCACAATTGGAGAACCAGACATCAGACTATCTTCAAGAATTGGAAGATTTACGCCTGCAATTAGTGGCAATCAATCAACAAAGGCTGCCACACCATCTCAACACAGTGCAGCATCATCAAATCGCTACTTATGCTGCCCTAGCAATATCAATGCTATTGATTATTGCGTTCATTCTCCGGAAGAAGTATCAATCATGGAACCCAAGGCCGTCAACAATCAACCAAGCAGAGCCACGCGGATCATCACCCCCAATCCCCATTCCACGCCGCTTTTCAGTCGACTTGGGCGATGGTTGAACACCAGTTCAACGGCCGGGAGAATGTTCAGTCGCATATTTATGCAGTAATTAATATTACATAATATACACTTATCGAATAAGTCAGGTCGACCCATGTAACGGGAGACATAATAACAAACGACAAGGCATTGTAGCTGAGTCAACAATAACCGCTTCTGCAGCAATTTCTGCCAACGATGCGATCGCTCGTCAGAGGGCAAAAACACTGGTGCAATTGCTGACTATCACAATTGCCCAATAACACAATATCATATTAAATCCAAATTAATTTAATATTAATTCCAATTCCCTTTTACCATATTCTTACTAGACTCAGCACTTTCTGTACCTTTTGTTACCTATAAATAGAAATTAAGTTTGTTGAATAAAATCAGTATCAGAAACAGTACCATCACTGCCTGTTCACTCATTCTCTACAACTGCAATCAACAGAGGCTGTCGCCGTGTCTTCAGACCCTCATTTGCTCGACGTAGGAATCCCTCTCCGCAGTCCAACTGGTTCAAGTTCTAGTTGCGACGACAAATTTGTAGACGGTTTATGTACCCTGCAGTTCCAAAAGTCACTTTTCACTCGTGATTCATTCGGTGAATCACTCATGGCATGTCCTCTGCCACTGGTGACTCACTGGTGAAACTCCAGATGAAATTTGTATGGACATGTCCGCTTTTGTCACTCGTGAAACTTCATATGAAATTGTCACTGAATTTTCTAGTGATTTCACCGGTGGCTTATACGTATAAGCCAGGAGTGAAATCACTCGGGACATGCCACGAGTGATTTCACTGGTGACATGCCAGGAGTGATTTCACTCGGGATATGCCACGAGTGATTTCACTGGGGAAACTCCCGAAAATGTCCTATATGAAATCACTCGTGATTCATTCGAAATATCCCATATGAAATCACTCGTGACTCTTTTGAAATGTCCTATATGAAATCACCTGTGAGACTTCTCATTAAATTTAACGGAATTTCACGGATAATTTCATAAGTGAAAGCCACCCAAAAATTTCTTTAAACACTTCATTCAAATAAAAGTAAATATATTTATTTTACACAGATTTTCTAGATTTTTCATTGATTTAATTATTTTTAATTATCTGTAGGGCCTTCCTTAACTGACTCGATCAAGTTAATAAGCACCAATGCTCCTGAAATGATATAAAAAATAAAAATATTTAGCCACGGAAGGTAATATTTTCTGAACTAACTTCTGAGTTATGTTCAGATTTGTATAAAGCAATACACATATGAAATTTGATTTTACCTTTGAGGCATTTTAAACAATTACTCCTGGACTAATATTTTGATTTTGACTTCAGAAATGTTTTGATCTGTAAATAAATAAGTCAATTTGTACATATATATTTTTTAATTAAAAATGCTGTATTTGCAGTTACATGGGTTTCCTCGAGCAAAAACAAACACTCGCAGCGACGCACATGGTTAACGGGACCACACCGCTTGAATGATCTAGAATCTAAACATATTTGTTCTTGCGAAACCCATGTACAAATTTAATTTAACTAACAACGCGCACTGTAATCACTGAATCCACTTACCTGACTTTAAAAACACTGAAAACCCACTTTTAAAAGGAATAAACATGTAAAAAGACGCTCAACTCAAAAAAATCACAGCCGCTCGCAACAAAAGATTGCACCAAATAATCGGTTTTTCTCCCCTCATCCCTTTGAGGAGACGAAATGCGCGAGAGTAGAAGAGTTAGGGTCGAATGCAGGTAGAGAAAACTAAAAATATGAGAGAGAGGGAAATCTATGGATATCTGCTTCTCTTTCTTACGAGTCAGCTTCGATCTGCAGCAGTTGAAGCTGGTCAGAATTTCATGCTGACGTCGACGTCGCTGCCTTTGTCGACGTCGAGCCCGAACAATTTTTCCTATGACACTTTCATGCCGTGACAGCCAGAACTGCAGGGTACCGTATGCATACCAAAACACACACACAAACACACATTAACAGGTTCTGTTTCCAATCCGAAAATGTCTGTATACTTTGAACACAATTCTGTCATTAGTTTATTATGTGCAGGTGGAAAATTCTTCTTTAATTTAGAAAGTATGGTTTCTGCTCTTTAAGTCGGCTACTTGATAGTTATTTAATGATTCACAATTTATTTGTCTTATATTAAACATTTTTTTGTTATCAGGGGTATTTAATTTGAAATGGAATTTCCGACGAAAACACCATCTTCTATTTCATGGTTAGGTATTAGAATCTGGTTGTCTGTGGTATTTACTTTAATTTGTCGTATTACTTCACAACGTGATGGTATAACTATTTCATTATTGTTGATATTATGAAAAATTGGAATTTGTATTGAATAATCAATATTGTTTGGTCTTAAGATAAAAAGATAATTTTCTGTGATGAAATCTAATTGGCAATTGAATTTTTCAATGAAGTCCATTCCAATTATTCCGTATCCTGGGACTGGAAAATCGTCAATTACTGTATGAAAATTATGTGGTATAATGAAGTTACAGGTTCTCAATTCGAGACATGTTAAACCTGTTGAATTTATTGATCCTTTTCCTATTCCTGTAACACTACTCGACAAAATCGAACTTTTTTTTTCCTCAAGGATCCAAACCGACTTTTTCTGATAGATATGGGGATTTAAAATTTTTTAAAGAATTATGGTATTTTTTTCTATGGCAGAACTTTTTTTTGAAGAATTTTTGAAGTCTGGTATTTTTTTTTTAAGCTTTTTTCAGAGGTAGCGCTTGTTTTTTTCACATAGCTCTAGTATCTTACGTCTGGTTGTAAAGAACTTTGATATTTTGAAAAGATAATTAAAACAGCTAGAAGTTAAGCCCAAACACTTTGTGATTACAGCTTACCGTCTGGGAAATATAAAGCATTGAAATGCAAGAATGATGATTTTTGTGCGGTATTTTTTTTCAAAATTTTGACTTTAAAAACTCAGGAAAAGTCGAAAAAAAATTATATCCTGTGTCCTCTATATTTTTGTGTATAGGTGCATTATTGGCGTCGTTTAAGGTATCGCTCATTAAAATCTATGGAGAGACTTTGGAGCTAAAATTCGTTAACCAAACCTAAAAAATGAAAAAAATTAACAAAAAATACCTTTTTGATGGTTGCGGGCCCAACTGCCAATTGGGAACAAAGCAAACGAAAAAGGGTTGTACATTTGGTACCTGATCGCGATCCCAATTCCCAATGGGCAGTTGAGCTCGCAACCTTCCAAAAGGTATTTTTTGTTCATTTTTTCCTTATTTTAGGTTTAGTTAACGAAAAATCTTTAATCCCCAAATCTTTAAGAAAAAGTTCGTTTTGTTCCTTGAGGAAAAATCGTGTTGACTAGTGTTTTTATAATCAACTAGCGGACCCGGCGAACGTTGTATCGCCCCATTTTAACGCCTTCAGATAAACTCCACATTGATTAATCCAACAGACTATCAAAGATTGGCCATGCGATTTATTGTATGAATGCAGCTCTCCAGCGATTTGATCTTGAATAATGAAATTCAAGCTATCGACATCCTTCGTCTCGACCCGTGTGTCGATTTTCCGAGTGTAAACTAATCTTTCAGCTGCACATTTTTATCCGTTTGTTCCATATGAAAATCATTTCTAGCGGACCCGACAGACGTTATGCTGTCTTAACTATAAATATTGATTTCGAATTGGTATAATTAACTAAAAAACATTTCAGAAAGAAAGTGTTTATTATTGTAATGCTTTATGATAAACAACATTCTTTGTTTTTTTCTCCGGCGCGTATATAAATAATTTGGTTGGTACTCCGACTCGCGAACAGGCGACATATAACTGGCCATGCGAAAAACATTGATTTTCAAGATTAATGCCACAAACAATTAGCGACTACCCTTGAGAATTATTTATCGACATTGCAAATGCTAGCCTCACTGGAAACTGTAACCGTTTAAAGTCGAATGGCATGTAGTTCGAAATCAAAGGAATCCGTGGAATCAAAACGTCTTCTCCTTATATTTCCCTTTCAAAATTGTGGCTTCGATGACGTTGTTCATTAAATTCTTCATCGGTTGCCATTACAAAGAAGTGGCTGGTTTATTTTCCGCAACATAATAATTACCGATCCGATCTTTAGTTGCAGATTATGAGGTGGTAGTCCGGGAAATTCCATCAAATTTAAGAACTCCGTTGGATGGTTGACATCATCTTGTTTACTTACGGAATCAATTATTATTAATGTTATTAATTCGCCAGCTTTATTATTTTCAATTTGGAAATTCATTTCGTTGACATCAACGTTTTTTGGAGCCAATATAACTCTTTCGCTCAACCATACATGATTTTTACAATTTTGAGCAATGTTTGGGAAAATCTTGTGTTGTGTCTTTGTTTCAGTAAAGTTACAAAAATTGGTAGGAAATGTGATGTATCCAGACAATGAGTAAACAGGTATTTTTCCATTACCAATATCTAGCAATTGTTTGGAAAAAACTTCTCCAGATTGCTCGTTCCGCAATTCGACTCGCATGTTTATATTTAGTTTGAGCGTTTTAACGTCTTTTCATAAAACGGATGACTTTAAACATCCGTTAAGTTCGTCGGCTGGTGTTGATCGAGGTATTACTGGTAGTGTTTTGCGAAAATCTCGTGCTAATAAAACCAGTGCACCTTCAATTCGGGTTTGGTTCTTTCGGAAATCTTGCAACGTGCGGTTTAATGTTTCGAATGATATTTTGTGTGCCATCGTGTACTCATCCCAAACTATTAATTTGCTCTGTTGCAACACTTTGGCCATCGCAGAATTTCTTGAAAGGTAGCAAGTTGGTGTTTCATTTATTTGCATGTTCAACGGCAACTTGAGTGTGGAATGAGCTGTTCGACCGCCTTCCAACAACATAGCTGCAATACCTGCCGAAGCAAGTGCAAGTGCGTTACCATTTTGCGATCGAATCGTTGCCAAAATCAATGATATTAAAAACGTTTCTCCAGTCCCACCGGGAGCATCTAAAAATAAAAATCCGCCAGTTCTTTCGTTCACTACTTTCATTAGCGTACCGTAGACATATTTTTTTTGCTCATATTAAAGAGGGAACGTTTCTTTGAAGTGTTTATTTTAATGCTTCGGAATCATATATCATTTCGCGTCTCAACTCTTGATTAAATGCGTCGTGCATTTGGCGATTGGGCGCTGTCATTCGTAACTGTATTAATACTTTGTTGGCAAGCATCAAGCACATGTCTTCAATTAAAATTAATTCTTTATTGTCCATTTCTTCATTTATTTGCAAATTATCATTTAAAGTTCTAACACGCTCCTGATGTAATATATCTTCGGCAATGTGATCTTTATATTTGTTCCATAAATCAATCGGTGTTGATGGGAAGCATGTAGACAAAAGTATGGCAAACAATGTTCGTGTTTGTTTAGCATTTGACGAAATCACAACATCTTCGAGAGTGTGGTCCCAATTAGTGTCATTTTCGAGCAGACCCATACGTTGAAATGCTTCTCTGTATGTACCGCACAATACACCATTAACAGCTCGCAGATTTTGGAATGATGTTGGGCCTCGAACATTGACTAACAGTAAACGCAGATAAAAACACTCGTCTTGACTGGGATTCCAGGTATAATATCGTGACATTTTAGAATAAAGCAGTGTTCTTGCAAAGTCATCATTCTGGCACATTTCAAAGAAGCTGGTCAATGTTGTCGATGGCGGCCTCTCAATTCGTTGTAATACGTTTATCGTTGTAAGTACACCCTTTGGCCATTTTCCAGATGTACGGCCAAATGAACAACAGTGGGGTATCTTTCATGTATTGGAAATGAAAAAATACGCCACATCGCCTGATTACTACTGACATAGCGTCCCATTTAAAAATGAGTTCTCATCGTTTGAATTTTCGACAGCAACTCCGAACACAGCCATGTCACTACCATTGTTCACGTACTAGCAGATATATTTAATTGATTTAACGGAATGGCAATATTCTACATTTATGTGTGCTTTAAATGTTTTTGAGAGTAACGGCGAAAACGGAACAGCCCAACGATTATCAACTTCAATGTAATGTTGATTCACGTTGACTGTTGTTGTCCTTCCGTTGTCGTCAGTGGATCGCCGGCGATAAAGTGGGTAACCATCATTTCCACTGATAGTTTCTGCTACTAATTGTATTGGAAAGCGTTTTGAACATTTTCCATTCACCATACACGGATAATTTTGATTTAATGTTCCACAGGGACAATGAATCATATTTTTTGAAACAATCTCATTGTCGGGTCAAGCAGCATAACGTATATGCCTACACCCGCTGCTTTCATGTTGCTGCTGCACCTGCTGCGTTAAAGCAGCTCTCTTGTTCTACTCGGCTCAGAAGTCGCGCCGAGCTATGCCATAATACTCCGTTATTGATCTTCAGAACCGTCGGTCTCTATACCTTTAGCAATCATATTTAATACGCGTACTGCCGCTACTAAATATTAATAAATTGTTATGTAATTAAACTTCTCGGCTCTGTTCTTAAAATTAATTAAAAAAGCTATTAAAAACGGTTAATAGCTCAACGTTTGGTGACCCCGTCGTGATTGTGCAATTTTGTACATATCACAAACTACATTTCAACATAATAATTTACGCTTAATTGCCGTTCGTTCGTCTGCTTTGCTCGCCGCTCTGATCCAGTGCCATCGACCACATAGCTGCCATACAAGCATATACATCAAATTGATAATACACAATTTTGCTCATGCGTGAAACTGCTGGGATACGCGGATACATGCCTCTGCATTCTACGTTTGCGGGAGCAAATGCAACTGCAGGTTTTGCCGGTTCTCAGCCGCCACCTTGTCGTAGGCCAGGATCATTCCTTCCTCCTATACAATTGCCAAGGTTTAGCGGAGGATATGCGGATTGGACGGAGTTTTACTCGATGTTCACGACCATCA